AGATAATTAGATAATTTTAGCTTAGCTTATCCCGTCCGTTATACATTAAACGCGCATTCGTAAACGTATTTTGCGCACGCGCAAATTCGCAGCGGTAAAGGTCTTACGCGCATGCGTCAACACGACGCATGCGCAGAAAGTTTGTAGCTTTGAGGTGCGGATTATAGACCATTCCGGATTATGGGTGTCCGAATTAACGACTTTTGACTGTAGTAATATATTATTTTGTATTAAGCTTCATAGTGTGTTGTGTGAAATAGTGTTGATTAATTTTCGGATTGCATGGCGCTATGTAAAGTGAATTCTAAATTTTTAATGCGTTTATCTGATAATAATAATAAGTTGAGATTGTGTGAAAGGAAGGATATTACAGATAAGTTTGAATGGCAGTGCAAGAAATCTGGTGAAATGGACATTTTGTGAAACGGAGTGTAAGGAAGGGTACGTGGTTTGCTGAAAGTAGTTTGAGTATGGGTGAAATTTTATTAATTTATTATTACTGGGTGAATAGACTGCCAGTTGACTACTGGATTTCGGATTTAGAAATTAGCAGTAGTACTGCAGCCGATTGGAACTCTTTCTGTAGGGAAGTGTGCGTGCCACGTAATGAAGATTCTGAAGAATTAAAATATAACTAAATTAATCATTTGAGGATATTAGGTAAGTTAGTATTTTTAATCATTTGAGGATATTATTTTTATGCATTGTTCTAAATGTAAGGAGTAAATAAATTAATATGGTATTATGAAAAATTGTTATTAGCAATGATTTAGTTTAAAGTAATTAGGATTGTAATCTAATTTTTATTAATTTAATGTATGTGCTTATTTATATTTTAAGTAGTGTTTTTTGATTTAATTATATTTTAATTTAATGATCGTGATTTTGTGAGTTATATGTTTGTAGTATTTTGGAATATGTTCGAGTAGAATACGTTGAGTATTTTCATGCATTTTCATGAAATTTTTCTAATTTATGAGAAAAAAGCAGTGTACATGGATATAGTGAAGAGTGTGCGCAATGCCATTTTTGTGCAATTCTGGGATTTATTTTAAGTAAAAATAAGTCGATGTGTACATGGTTTAGTAATATTTTAATTAAATGATAGTTATTTTGTGAATTTTATGTTTGTAGGAATTTGGTATACGTTTCAGTTGAAGTAAACGTGTATGGAAATAATTTAAATATTTGACACTAAGTATTTGTAACTATTTTTAATGTTTGCGGTAAAAATTCGTTGGTGACGTTTATAATATAATAATTTAGAGGTAAAAGTTTTTGGATATTTTATTTATTTTATATGTGGAAATGTTCATCCTTGGAAAGGGTATATACTTTTTCGCGATCAGGTAATTTCATATATGTGCTTTTTACAGAGTTTAAAGATTCAGAAAATTTTCCTGCATTTTCGGGCAAATTTTGTAATTTATGAGAAAATAGCAGTGTAGATGGATAAAAGTTAAGAGTGTGTGCAATGCCATTTTTGTGCAGTTCTGGGATGTTTTTTTAAGTAAAAAGAAGTTGACGTGTAAATGGTTTATGTGTATGTGCTATTCTGAAAAACATGCAAGGAGTTTGCGATTGTGCACTTTTTCCCAATTCTGCAGTTAATATTTGTCATGATTAAGCAGTTTTGTTACATAAAATTTCTAGCATAAGTGTAAATTGGCTAGTAGATTGTTGGAAAAAGTGTTGAGTAAATAAAAAGAAAAGAAACATGTCTTTACTTCGTGAAGACAAAATGGTGGCGAAAAAAAAATAGAGGGTTGCTGTATCAGAGTTGGTCACCAAATTATCGCCAGGTTACCATAATCCAAAGATCAACCAAAAGGAATGTTGTCCATAAATATATTAATAATAATTAATGATAAAATAGACATATGATAAATATATGAAATTAGTGTAATTAATATAAATATATGCATTTAAAATTATCTAACTTGGACCATATTTACAATTTTTGCAATGTGGACTTTAAATAAAATTTTTTAGCAGCGTACATCAGTTGGGTTTGGTTTGTTTAAATTATGGAAAAGCATGGGAGAGATATCTGCCTAAGAGCACAGATGCTTTTAAGGAGGTCTTTCTGAAGGGAACTGGTTTAAATTCATGTTACATAATGGGAATACCATGAAAACAATCATACAACTTGTCCATTAGCTTGGTTAAACAAACTACCAGACTTCAGTCACTTTACTGGTTGGCTGCTGATGAGCTGCATTTCATTTATATAATGATAATGGATTTTCAATCATAGTTTTGGAAGTACTTTAAAATTATGCAATGAAGATATCAATCGTAATGGCTTTTGATTTTATACTTTCACAATTTCTTAAGAAACTGCACTGTTAAAAACAGGACTATTTTGGAATTTTATAATATTGAAAGATATTCAAAGACAGATCTGTATTTTACTATTTTTTTCCATTAAATAGATAACTTTGTCAAGAAAAAGGGGTCATTATTACATGATTATTTTAGTTCCTTTAGACTTTATATATTGTTGAATTCAATAAAAATTTATTTTCGTATATCACGTTTAACCGTTTAATTTTGAATTTTCACTTCCATATGCTTAATATATTGTTTTCTCTGCTAACTTGAATTTATGTTACTTATTCTTTAATTATTTTGATTATATGCACTAAATACCACGTTTACATGGCTTACTTCCATGTGTTTTAATACCTTAAAACTGTACACCGATCCGTGGGTGAACTTGGCGAGTAAAACTGCAACGCGCCAACGGGTTCTTTGCAGATGAAAACCCCTGTATTTTTCTAATATACACTGGCAAATCAGGATAAAAAATCATTTGGTATAATAGATCAGATGATCTTGGTAGTCAGTGCTGATTAATTTTCATTCTTCAGCTAAATGATGTCATTTCATTAAATAACTATATCTTATGCAATGTAGGGTACAACCTTTATTCTGCATGAAAATTGTCCTATCCTTGTATTATTTCTCAAATTACAAAGTCTACAGCAGGTAGTGATACTTATAATTGAAATTACTGGTTCTATTCCTTAAAAAGTAAATAAATAAATAAAAAATCTGATGTTGAAATTTGATATGAAATATCAGTGAGTTAAGGAAATAACTAGTGAAGGGTTAGAGTAGATTTAAGGGTTCTCCTTGGATTATCGCTAAGTGTTGTTTCATTTATCGCCAAGTTGTTGTTCCATTCATGGTAACCTGAGTAGCAGTGGCGTAAATTAGGGTATGCAAGGAATGCAGTCGCATAGGGTCCCGAAGGCTTATGAATGTCCTGCTGAACTACATTTACATATTTAAACTTAAAACACATACAAAAATCACGTATTCGAGTAGTTTAGTGTACCAAGTTTTCTTAAAAGAAAGGGGGGGGGAACTTTATCATACATATTTTCTACAAAAATTCTATGTTCAAATAGTTTTCTTTACGAAATTTATGATAAATATGTTTTATATTTAACAAATGTATCATTTACATTATAAAAGTTCTTATTTATGACATATATTATTGCATAAGTCATGTTCGTAAGCTCAGTCGATCACAGAGCGCTATATATTAGTGTAATTTCTTTTTTTATACGTTTCCTTATCATGTTGTCTGTCAGTTTATAACATAACCAGTTATTTACTAGCTTGCTAAATTAAGCGAAAAAGACTTATAGATTGGCACAGATTTTATATAGAAACTCAAAATATACTTGCATGTAAAACCTACTGGATTTTATTTAAAAGTCTCCGCAAATCTAGACTTTCTCCCCTCATTTGTTAAGCACAGTAAATTTACTTGGGGGGGAGGAAGGAACATTTTTTGCACTGGGGCCCAAGAGTTCTAGCTACGCGACTGCTGAGTAGTTGGACGTTATGGAAAGTCTATTTTGAAGTAATTGGTTGCATAACTGCCATCAACTGGAATTGTGGGAAAAGATTTGGAAAGTGTGTGTCGGATTTGGGGTAAGAAGTATGTTGTTATTTTTTGGTTTACACAGTAAAATGGCTGAATGTGGTAAGATTAATTTGAAGTTTCTGTACAATTTGGAGTGAAAGGGGAAAAACATTAATTGACTGGTGTGTAAATGAAGGTTTACTTAATAGCCATTAATAAGTATCCTGTTTGTAGGAAGGAAATGCTCATGGTCAAACGTCGGACAATACTGGCACTATGGAGGATATTTTTGTGAATTTATGTGGCGATGCCAGTATACAGATTTTAGTTCAGATAATTTTAGGAAGTTTCTGGATTCTATTAAGGAATTTTGTTTGACAGAAGACACATAAATTTGTAAATAAGGTAAGTTGATATTTCCTTTGTGTAGTGCTAAGATGAATTTCCTTTTTTATGTTGTTTCATTGTTTGATTTAAAACGCAGTTCATTGAGATTATATATATTTTGTTGGCTGCTCCTTTGGCTTTTTAAGTGAATATACATCGATGTGTACATGGACCAAGTCAAGGAAGTGTGCAATTCTCTGATTTTTTTTTTTTTTTAAAGTAAAAATAGGTTTATGTGTACATGGATACTGAGTTTGTGCAGTTCTTGGACTTGTTATTTTGGAGTTGTGTGATGGCGACTTTGGCACGAAAATCGCCACTACACAAAGCCAAAATAACAAGTCAAAGAATTGCACAAACTTGGTATCCATGTACGCCCAAAAATTGCCAATTTTCGTGAAGAGGTACCCGCAAATATACTTTTACCCTGACTTTTTAAATAGCTTTTTCTAATATTATTGGATTTTCCTAATGATTATTCTATGAATTTCCAAATGATTTTTATCAATTGGATTAAGAGAGACCTAGATTCATAGACCCTATTAATACAGGTTCCACTGTGTAAGAAAATAACAACAATACTTTCTATATGAATATAATTCGTTTTAGATATTTTCATTTATTTGCTTATGAATAATCTGCCATTACTATTTCACTGATAGGTGAACTCACTTATTAAAGTTTCATGGCCATAATAATTTTCAAAACATTCAAATGCTTAAAGATCACATACCTGCAAATGAAGGGGGTGGCATTTCATAATTTGTCTTATTTCTTCGGGCATTATACAATAAGAAAGCTGAAATATACATGCTAATTAATCAATGGTTGAAAATTAATAATAACTGAATTTAAATAATTTGATATATTATCAGCAGCAAAAATTAACCATAAAATGCTATAGAATTTTAATGCATTATAATGACAAAACTGAGGATTTAATGAGAGTTTTTATCATAAAATAAATTGTTCCTAAGTAACATTATAATGCACAGACAATCACTTCTGTAATACTGACATATACACAAGTAACATCTAAGAGATGCAACTCAAAGCCATATACGGTAGAAAATCCTGTTAGGAAATGACACAACACTTTCGTCCATTATAAAAAAGTGTTTTTATCTCCTATTTCGACATATACATATCCAGAAGCTTTCCATTCATGAAAGTTTGACTGTACATAACTTTTCAATTAAAACAGTCAAATTATTTCTGGCATTTTGATTATCTGCATCGCCGATTTAACCATTTCACAGAATAGCTGTATTGTTACCACATTTTTAAATATACATGCGGCAATAAGCGACATACGCAAGCAAGTATTGTATCTGTACACATGTATTTTAGCATACACAGATTTACAGTCTTAGCAATTATTATGCTGTATAAGATTCACTATTTGTAAAAATGTAAGCATTAGTTATAAAGACTTTTCTTTCTTGTAAAATGCTTCAGAAAAAATAAACTTTTTTATTGCCATAGTGGGAGTATGAAAATTAGCTTAATTTATTATTACTGAGGCTTTAAGTTATAAAATTAAAAATTACATAATACTAACGTTTCAATGAATTTTGTAATAACAGGTTATAAGGAATCTGATGTAATTCAAGCAGAGGTTTGGCCCGTAAAATATTCATTTTACTTTCGAAAATAAGCTTTCTCCACTTTGAAAACAATCATTACAAACAATATCGCATTTTCACTTCAGCTCACTTCAGCCACAGAATATGTATTCTACACTTTCTTTGCTTCAACTCATTTATAGCAAGTTTATGCTATATTTTTCTTTCAATCCTAAATATAAGTGAAAACAAAATATATATATATAATAAAATATAATTTACTTACTAAAGAAATATTGATTATATTATCTCCTAAGATTAATTTTAGTAGAATTATCTAAAAAGAGTGAATCCATAGTTAGTAAGTTTAATTCCAAAAATTGTTTTAAAGTAACATGAATGTAAATTGTTAAAAATGTTTAACAGGGACTTGAATTAAATCATGAATAACAAAATTTCAATTGTAAAAAGAAATTAAATTAAAAGCAAGTAATGAAATTAAAAGCAAGTAATCATTGCCATTCATCGGAAATTAGTTGACTTTTCAAGGGGGCACAAACCAACTTCAGTTCAATAAACAATAATTAAGAAATAAATACGAAAGTGTTTCGTCCTTTACTCAAGAAATAAGGCGATCCCAAACTGGCAATTTAAGTTAGGCCAAATATTTCCGTGAATTGAAGGGATCAAGAACCAATGCAGAGCACTAAAGAACTCATTCTGATTAAGCATCTTCGCTAATTCAATTTTGAGTGAAAAGCAATTTATGCAGTAAAATTGATAAATTACTTGAGTAATTGTTCCCCGACACCCTCGTGTTTATGCATTTTAATCCAAAACTATTTGTAAAATATTAAACATTGGAAATTGGCATTATGAAATAGAACTCAAAGTTATTGAAATAAACATTAGAAAATTACGAAATATAAGAAATATAATGAAATATTTGCGAAAACAAATAAAAAAATAAAAATTGAAATTTAAAAAATACATACTAAGAAAAGGGAATGTACATGAAGATATAAAGGCCAGAAAAAGCATTAATTAACTTACGTTCTGTCTTGTGTGGAGTGGGCAAAGTGTTCTCTTCGTGTCTGACTCAGAAGAGTTGTGTTTCAAAAATTCTTTATCGGCAGCTGGAGCTTTGAATTATATCAGTCGGTAAGACTTGTGTGAAGTAATAAGTAATTTATGGTAGTGGGAGGGACTAGGAATTCTTGAGTGACGTATGTTGTGGAGCTCTTATTTGAGTGAAACCGTCTTTTAAATTTTTTTTTAAATACTAGTGAATGGAAAGTAATTAATTTCTGGCTAATTGTCCTGTCGTAACGATTAAGAAATTAAGAAAAGGAAAAAAGGTATTTTCACTGTCAAAGAGCTATTTGGCAGACTAAAGATTATGAAATAGGCCCATCTTTTTAGTAACAGCATAGTAACAGCAAAAGTCTGAAGACAATAAACTTTTTACGTTATATACAACTTAGTAATTACACTATGTACATATCCTTCAACTGATAGTCATCCAACTTATACCGCCTTCTCAGGTTTAGGAACAAATTATCATATCCCTATCAGTTAAATGATTTAGAGTGAGTATTTAACGCCTGCTCTTTCAAGTCAATGGTTAATAACTTGATTACGCATTAGATTATTTTTGAGAATTTTAATAAGGAGGGAAATTTCACGTTGTAGATCTAGCGTATCTGTGCAGATATTTTTAATTCGTTGTATTTGATTTATTATTGTATTGTTAATGACCGACAAGAACGACCTCAGATGAAATTTTTTAAGGCTACCAATGATTTTGTCACTAGTCACGGTATTGATTGAATGAAGTGTGTTGGGCTAAGTAGCGACGGAGCACGTGCAATGGCAGGCTGTCATAAAGGTTTGTTTAAACAAGTTCAAGAATTAGAAATTAATTGTGTATGGGTGCACTGTAGTATCCATAAACAAGCGTTGGCGTAAAACGAATGCCTTTAAATTTAAATATGATTTTGGAAGAATGTGTCAAATTTGTAAACTACATAAAGCCTCGTCCATTAAATAGCAGACTTTTTATCGAATTATGCAAGGAAATGGCGAGTGATCATAAACACCTCCTTTTGTATTGTAATTCACGATGGCTTTTAAAAGGAAACGTTTTAGAACGTCTGTTTGAACTAAAAGACGAAGCCTTGGTATTTCTGAATGAACACCCACCATCTAAAAGAGATGCTATTTTTTCATTTAAGGATAGATTCCACGAGTTCGAGTGGTTAATAAAAGTAGCTTATTTGTGCGACATATATTCATATTCAATGAATTGAATTTAAATTTAAAAGTCTTTGGTTTAAATATTTTCGAATTATCGGAAAAAGTCGCTGCGATAATTAAAAAAATGACTCTGTGGAAACAACGACTTTCAAAAGGAAATTTTAAATGTTTTGAAACATTACATAAATTTATTGAAACCTATTCAAACTACGATGAAGAAGATTTACGTCTTGAAATACTATCAGCTTCAATTTAAGAACATTTTTCGGAGCTAATAAATAGTTTTAAAGACAACTTTCCGGATATTCCTTCAAATAATATGTGGATTAAAGATCTTTTTTCTGTCGATATTGAAAAGGAAGAAATGTTTAATATTAATGAACAAGAAGTTGATAATTAAATTGAAATTTCATGCAACACCAATCTTAAAAGAAGGTTTGGAACTGTACCACTGATTAATTTTTGGTTGCGCTGTCAAAAAGAATATCCAAGCGTAAGCGAAAAAGCGATACACTTTTGTCACCACTTATACGTATGAAAGTGCGTTCTCAGCCTTGGTGTACTTAAAAAATAAATATCGAAACTGATTGAATGTCGAACCTAATTCGAGAATAAAATTAACATTATTAAGTCTTAATTTGAAATTACTATGTGATGAAAAACAACATCATCGTTCGCACTAAGGTCAAAATACGTAAAACAAAATTTATTTTAAGTTTTAAATGAAAATAATGGATTGTCTTTAATTATGTTTTTGCTATATAATTATTTTCCGACTTGAATTTTGATTTTTATTAAAAATAAAATTTGTTTTGTAAATAAATGGTTTTTTTTATAAGGTGGGTCGCGAAAAAATTTAAAATTTCGTACCGGGCCGCGGTCAAAAACGTTTGGGAAACTCTGGCCTAGGATATTCAGAAAAGCCAAATTTACAAGAGAAAGGTCTACAAAAGTCAGTTAAAAACAGCTATTAAGGTCAACACAATTTTATATATAAAATCTACGAAAATATCAAAATTTATAGAAAAATCTAGAAAGCTGTCTTTTGCTCTTAATTCTGCTTTTCTCAGCAGTTCCTCTTCTCCAAGCAAGGGAAAAAATTAATAAAAAAGATTGCGGGTATTTGGAAGATGCACGTAACCTTCCGTTCTGATGTAATCATATTTTGATGCTGATTTCATGAAAACTTTCGGTACTCTTCTGTTATAGGGACAAGATTCATGCTATGTAAGTATGTATGCATGGATGTATGTGTTCATGTATGCACGTATATATATGTACGTAAGTATATATATGTGTGTACCACACATATATATTCGCGCATATATACATACACACGTGCATACATATATACATTTCTGAATGCGGTCACCATAACAGAAGAGTAGCAAATTTTCTACCTTTTCTTGAGAACCTATGAACAAAAGTGCCTGTGTAAAGTTTATATTTAAGATAATAAACGTATAAGCAGGCCCGCGCCGAGCCTAATTGGCTCCGTCGTTCAAATGTCTAGTGATTACCTTTATGCAGAGACGAAATTAGAGGAAAATTGCATATGGTTAACACTTAAAATGAAGTATTATTAACATAATAATAAGAAAAACAAAAAACTTACATTTTATCTTTTAATTTTTCTAAATCTGCAAACATTTTGTGCTAACATCACGCTCAAACATATTTATTAAAGAATTATACATACATTTATATTATAAAAAAATAACATTGCAAGCGAAGCGAAATAATATACTAAACGCATTGCATACCAAATATAATGCTTAACACTATTTGTTATCTTAAAATTAAAAACAAATTAATTTACATATCTAATACAAGTTAAATACTGGGAAGATATAAAGCTAGAGAGAAATATGCTATGTAGAAGTACAGATAAATAAATAATATTCCATTTTAATTATTTAACATTAATTTATTAACACCTTAAGGGATTAGGTAACTTCGAAAGTTTTTAAAAATTTCAAAAAAATTCTTTTGGCTTAATTAACTAAAAATGCTAACCTGAAACAATAACTGTATGGCACAGGATTTGACTGTAATGACTGTTGCAGAGAGAATTTTAAACATAAATAGTTAACTAATAAAGGTCATTAAATAATTAATTAATTTCTTTTATAAAGTTTTATTGCCAATGTTTCATGCAAAATATAATCTAAAGGAGATTAGAAAAGTGTAAGAGTAAGTAGTAAGAGAAAGAAGTAAGAGAAAGGAGTAAGAGAAAGGAGTAAGAGTTAAGAGTAAGTAGTAAGAGAAAGAAGTAAGAGAAAGGAGTAAGAGTTAAGAGTAAGTAGTAAGAGAAAGGGATTAGAAAAGAGGAGTAACTGCGTGTGGGATTAAAATTATTTAATTAATTATCAAATTCTGTCAACTGCTATAAGTAGCATTAGTTTTCTACTCATTTTCAAATTCTCAATGCTTAAATCACCTTCTTAATTTTTCAGCAAGAATTTATTAGTTAATTCAAATATTTGTAAAAAAAAAATAATCTCTCATTCCTTCTTGCGATTACAAATCATAATGCTGTGGGGTTCCACCCTTTTATCTAAAAGCTAAATGTAGAGGAACCTAATGAACAGCTAAGCGAATAATCGCTTTAGTTCAGGAACAGAGACGTAAACTTGAGAAGTGTTAATTACCCTTTATTGTTCAAAAAAAGTGTATAACAAGTGGCCCCTGTCTCAGGGCGTACACCAAAGCATCCACTTAGGCTTGAGCTCAAAATAATAAGTAAGACTTAACTAATGCCTAACTAAAGAGATATAGCCGAAGCTATCGGAATTCTCCCCTAAATATCGAATAAGCTAGCGAAGCTATCAATGGCCTGTAATATGACCGAGCTTAGTAACATCTTAGAGAGTCGTAGCCAAAGGACAAATGTGAGCT